AGTTTTTCCCTGAGATTTTCATTGGTCTGTGTGTCTGTTTTGGTACCAGTACCTTGTTGTTTATGTTCCTATGGCTTTGTAGTATAATTTGAGATCAGGTATTGTGATGCTTCCAACAATAATTACTCTTTTGGTTTAGGATTGCTTTGGGTGGCTATAGTTGTAAGAGATTTTTGTTTTTACTTTTGTTTTTCTGGATCCTTAGTCTTTTCATTGGTCTGTGTGTCTGTTTTGGTACCAGTACCTTGTTGTTTATGTTCCTATGGCTTTGTAGTATAATTTGAGATCAGGTATTGTGATGCTTCCAACAATAATTACTCTTTTGGTTTAGGATTGCTTTGGCAATTGGAGTCTTTTGTGCTTCTATAACAATTTTAGGATTTATTTCCCAGTTCTGTGAAGAATCTCATTGGAATTTTAATAAGGATTGCATGAATTTGCTTTTGGTAATATAGCCATTCTTACAATAGTAGTTCTACTGATTGAAGAACATGAGAGGTTTGTTCATCTTCTAGTGTCAGTTTCTTTCTTCAGTGTTTTAAAGTTTTCATCGTAGAAATCTTTCACTTCCTTGGTTAGAGTTATTCATAGGTATGTATTATTTGTTTTGAAGTTGTGAATGGGTTTTCTTTTAAACTGATTTCTTTCTCAGCAAGTTAGCTATAACTATAAGAAATGGTGCTGACTTTGATTTTATATCCTGCTACTTTGCTGAAAGTGTTTATCAGGTCTGTGAGTTTCGTGGCAAAGTCATTAGGGCCTTTTAAATACGGGATCATGCCATCTGTAAATGAAGATAATTTGACTTCTTCCTTTACAATTTGTATTTCTTTTATTTCTTTCTCTTGGTTTATTGCTCTAGCTAAGACTATATTAGGAGTGAAGAGGGCCAACCATGGGAGCACATGCCTTTAATTCCAGCACCCTGGGGAGGGAGAGGAAGGCAGATCTCGGAACGTTCCATAGCCAAGGCTACAGAGTAAGAGCCTGTTTTCTTTCTTTCTTTTTTTTTTTTTTCTTTTCAGAAAAGTGAAAAAAGTACCTGATTTTATAGGAAATGCTCAATTTTTCCCCACTTAGTATAATATTGGCTATAAGTTTGTCATAAATATTCTTTATCATACTGAAATACAGCCTTTCTTTTCCTAAGTTCTTCAGGATTTTTTTTTTTTATCATGAAAAGATGTTGGACTTACCTGCATCTATTAAGATGAATCATGTGATTTCTGCCCTTCAGTCTATGTGCTGTATTATTTCATTTACTGATTTATGTTTGTGTAAACTTAAGTGTATTCTTGAATTCAGTTTGTAAGTATTTTATTAATAATTTTTTCTTCTATGTTCACCTGGGAAATTGGTCTACTTTAGTTTTTAGTTTGGATTTGTATGTGTGTCCTTAGTTTAGTTTTGGTATCAGGATGATAAAAGTATCATAGAATAATTTTGATCATGTTCCTGCCTTTTCTGCTTTATGGAACAATTTGAGGAACATTAGTGATGGTTTAGAAGTGAATCTATCCAGTCTTTGGCTTTTCTTTGTTTGGAGATGCTTTATTATAACTTCAATCTCATTGCTTGTTACAGGTCTATTAAAGTTGTGTTTATCCTCTTGATTTATCTTAGGCAGGTCATATTTATTTAGGAATTTATTCTTTTCTTCTAGATTTTACAGTTTTAGGAAATACAAGTTTTCGTAGTATTTCCTCACAGTCCTCGATTTCATTGGGATCTGTTGTCCCCTTTGCCATTGCTGTTTTGTTAATTTAGTCTTCTTTCTCTTCTTGGTGAGTTTGGTCAATCTTTAGTTTTTCAGAGGACCAGCTCTTCGACTGATTGATTGATTGTACGTATTTCCCTTTTAGTTTCCATTTCATTAATTCCTTTCCTGATCCTGATCTTTATTATTATTATTTAATTTCTTTGCTGTTTACTGCTTTTAGATTTTACTTGTTCTTGTTTTTCTAATACTTTGAGATCTCTGGATTTTTTCATTTAAGCACTCAGAGCTGTAAACTTTTCTTAAGGCTGCCTTACCTGTGTCTTAAAAGTTCTGATACATTTCCCTTCATTTTCATTTACTTCTAGGAATTTATAAAATTTCCTTCGTGATTTCTTCAGTGATCCTCTGATCGTTCAGGAATGTTTTGTTCAATCTCCAAAGTATTAATAGAATTTCTGTGGTTTTTCTTGCTATTGATTTCTTGTTTTATCATGGTGTGATATGATTTGTTTGTTTGTTTGTTTCAGAGCTGAGGACCAAACCCAGGGCCTTCCTTGTACTTGCTAGGCAAGTGCTCTACCAATGTGATATGATAGATATAATAAATTATACTTTTATGAGCCTAATCCCCAACCCACTGTGATATGATAGCTATAATAAATTATTTCACTCTTTTGTATTTGTTAAAACTTATGGTTTAGCCTAAAATATGATCTATTTTAAAGAAAGTTCCATTGCTTACTAAGGATAAGAAGAATGTGCATTCTTAGAAGAATTCATATGTTGTGTGGAATTACTTGTAAAAACAGGTGTGCTCACCCTGTGTCTGAGGAGAACAGTGAATGCAACCCGACACAATTGTAAATTTGCTTAAAATATGAGATTTTTAAAAATCCAATTGTACAGTTCTTGAGCATGAATAAACCCTGTGGATAATGAAATGTTGCAATGTCAGAAGATTGAATGAGCCTGTGTGTAGACAATCTATTAAGTCCATTTGATCTATGGTGTCGTTTAATACTGAAGTTTCCTTGTTAATTTTTTTAGTCTGGATCACCTGTCTGTTGGTTTTAAATAAACTCACTATGATAGTTACAGGACCTCTCTTGCTCTTTTATATTAAGTAGTGTTTTATGAAATTGTGAGCCCTAGTGTTTGGTGCATATATATTTATAATTACTATATCTTTTTGATGGATTATACTCTGAATTAATATGCTTTGGCCTTCTTTGTATCTTATGACTAATTTTTTCTGTAAGTCTACATTACCAGTAATCAGAATACTGGCCTAGTTTTGGCCTGAAGTCTACTTTGGTTTCAGAAAAACTATGTCAGCCTGCTTTCAGCTCTCATTTACCTGGTAAGTCGGCTTTTCCTTTCACTCTCAGTCCATGAGTGTCCTTACCTGAAAGGTGTAATTCTTGGAGATAGTGGAGACAATAGATATTTGGATCTTGTTTTTTCTGTTTTTTGACTTTTTTTAAAAATAAATATGTATGTATGTATGTATGTATGTATGTATGTATGTAAATGCACTTGTGTTGTGTAATGCCCATGGAGGTCAGAAGAGGTGCTGTGTCAGATCTCCTGGAACTGGAGTTACAGACAGTTGTTAGCTGCCGTGAAGGTACTGGGATTTGAACTGGGTCTTCTGCAAGAGCAGCCAGTGCTCTTAACTGCTAAGCCATCTCTTTAGCCCTTGGATCTTGTTTTTTAATCCAGTCAGCTACTCTGCACCTTTTAATTGGGAATTAAGACCGTTTATATTTGGGGTTATTGAGCAGTTTGCTGATTCCTGTAATTTTGTTTTTTGTTTTTCTAGTCTGTTGGATTATTATTTGTTCTCTTTCATCCCTATTCATAGTTAGAGGTTTGCTGATTTATTGAGTTGAATATGATAGATTCTTAGTTTCCCTGTCTTTCTTGTGCTTATGATTCTTTTAAGTATCATTGAAACTTTAAAATCCATCATGTGCTGTTCCCAGGCAGCATTTTAACAATAAAAAGTTACTATATGAGTCAATTAAATTCTCCTAATTTTATTCTTTTTTTTTCTCCTGGAATTAACTGATTTTTGCTCTTCTCAAATAGTTCTTTCTGAACTTCATTCTCCCTGGAAAAGTTTGTTGTTCAGGAAGTCATGTGTGGCTGTCATTGGCTCTGCTCACCTGTATGGTATCGCTCTTAGGCCGCGATCCAATCACAGCTGGATGGGGTACGCACAGGCCTGAGCCAGCTCCACAATGCACTGAATGATGTCAAGCATATCCAGCAGTCACTGGCTGATGTCAGCAAGGACTGGAGGCAGAGCATCAACACCATTGAGAGTCTCAAAGATGTGAAGGATGCAGTAGTGCAGCACAGCCAGCTGGCTGCAGCTGTGGAAAACCTCAAGAACATCTTCTCTGGTAAGTGGCAGGAAGCAGAGAAGGTGAGGGGAGGATGGGAAACTGGGGGAAGGGCTTGGTAGCTGTAGGACACTCACCCACATGCATACCCATTTTCCCTCCAAATGCTAGGAGCTCTGTGAGGAGTGTAGAGGCAGGCCAGCATTTCTTTGCAGTATACTCTTTGTGCATGATAAGCTTGATCTGCCTGTTCAGCTAACTTCTCTGTTTGAACATGAATGGAAATGATTAGTTGAGCAACTGAGGGCCAGCAGAGAACATGTAGTACTGTGTCAGGGCAGTGCACAGAATTGGACTACACAACCAGTTCTGTTCACTGTGGTTAAGTGTCTGCTGTACAAAAGTTAAGAGACAGCAGCACACATACTTTAGAGGAGCAACTGCCTGGGAAAGAAGCTATGAGTAGGATGAGGAGCAGGCCCTAATGGGGGTTTAGAATAGCAGTTCCCAAGCTGGGGCAAGCATGGTGCAGGAGCCAGGTGAACCAGACAGAGCAGGGCAGGAGTCTCAAGTGTGACAAGCAAAATTGAAAGAGACCTGAGGAAGAGACAGAAGACTGACTCCCTCAGAGTCATCTCTGAATGTAGCATGTTCCATGGCTCATCCCTAGACAGTGTCAGTGGTCTCCAGTCATGTATCCCTTTCAGTATCTAGAAAAGCTTAAGAAATGTTGATGCTAGTTCTCTAAATGTTTGGCCAGCTCATTAGTGACATGACTGGGTATGGGGGCTTCTCTCTATGGGGAGTTTGTTTTTAACCACTGATTGAGTTTGCTTACTACCTGTGATCTGTTCTGAATTGTTTTATAATTCACTTTGGAGGTGTTTTGTTTCTAGTTTGTTTCTAGGAATTTGATCTAGGTTGCCTAGTTTCTTGGTATTCAGTTTTTCTTTTTTTTTTGGTCTTTCTTTGAGACAGGGTCTCCCTGTAGTCCCAGATGACCTGGAACTGGCTGTGTTGACCAGGCTGGCCTTGAATTCACAGAGATCCACCTGCCTTTGTCTCCGAGAGCTGGGACTAAAGGTTTGCACCACCACACCCAGATTATTGTTCTTTTTTTTCCTGAAGAATCAATAGTAATGTTTCTACTTTCTGATTTTATTAATTTTAGAATCTTTTCTCTTGGTCCATTTAATCTAAAGATGTGTCAGTTTCCTTGATCTTTTTCAAAGGACCAAATTTTATCTATTGATTTTATTTTCTGTTTTTGTATTCTGTTTTGAATATTGACTATTCTGATCCCTACTTCCTTCTGTCTAGCTTTAGGTTTAATTTCTTCTTTTTTTAATCTCCTAAAGTTGCAAAGTTGGGCTATTGGTTTGGAATCTTTCTTCCTAATGGAAACAGCTCTAGCAATACGTTTTCCATTGTATCATTGCTGTGCTGCCTCCTGTAAGTTTTGGTAGATTTTCCAAGTACTTTTCAGTTTCCCTTATGATTTCTTCTTTGCTGTATTAATTAAAATCATTATTTAATTTTCACAAAATTTGTGGATTTTACAGTTTCCTTTTCTTGCTAATTTCTAATGTCATCTATTTAGAGAAGATACTTTGTACATCTGTTCTTTTTTAGAAAAAAAAATCTACTCAGCTGGGCATGGTGGCTCACGCTTTTAACCCCTGCACTTAGGAGGCAGAAGAAGGAAGGTCTATGTGAGATGAAGGCTTGGTCTACATAGTAAGTTCCAGGCCAGCTGGGGCTATTTGGAGACCCTGTCTCAAAAAACAAAAAAACAAATCAAAATCTACTGACCTGGGTGTGGTGGCACACACCTTTAATCCCAGCACTTGGGAAGCAGAGACAGGCAGGTCTCTATGAGTTCAAGACCAGCCTGTTCTACATCGTGAGTTTCAGGTCAGAGGGGGCTACAGGAAGACCCTATCTCAAAAAACAAAATAAATAAAATAAAAAATCTAATGAGACTCAAAATTTTAACCTAAATACAGCCCACCTGGGGACTGTCTCTGCACTTGAGAAGAATGTGTGTGCTTTCAGTGCTACATCTTCAGATCCCTTTGTTTACTATGTTGCTTAGATCCTGAGTTTCTTCATACTTTCTGCTTGTTTTGACAGTCATTGAGAGGGAATACCTACATCTTCAGTGATCATCACAGAACTGTCTTCTCTCCCTTCAGTTCCATCAGGTTTTGCTTAATATATGCTGGTAGCCTATAGAGATGCAGAAATGTCAATAATTACCATAAAACTTTTCCAGCTTGCTGACAGATACATAGCATCCTTCTTTTAACCCGAAGCTGTTTTGTCTCATTAGTATGCCCCCCGCTCCCTTTTGGCTGCTATTTGCGTGGAGTACCTTTTTCCAATCTTTAATGTTCAGTGTGTTTGTCTCTTTGGCTGTAAGGTTAGTTCTTGTAGATGTACATGGTTGAATCTTTTTTTTTTTTTTTAAAGTAATCCATTCTGCCATCTGATTTTTGTTTGTTTTTTGGTCTTTTTGAGACAGGGTCTTCTTGTAGCCCCAGCTGGCCTGGAACTCCTTATGTAGACCAGGCTGGCCTGGAACTCACAGAGATCCTTCTGCCCCTGCCTCCTGAGTGCTGGGACTAAAGGCGTGTGCCACCATGCCCAGCTCTGCCATCTGTTTTGATTAGAGAGTTTAGTGTGCTTACATTGAAAATAGTAACTAGTAAGGAAGGATTTTACTGTTTGTTTTCCAGTGTTGTATAACTTTTTGTCCCTCATGTTCTATACTATAGCTTTTTGTGTTTTAAATTTTTTTTCTAGTGAAACACTTTAAATTCCCATTTTGTCTTTTTCCTTTGTGTATTCTTTAGCTATTTTCTTTGTAGTTAACCTGGAGATTACATTTACTGTCCTAAGATTGTATCAGTCTTTTTAAATTTATTATCATTATTATTATTAGGTCTCTTTTTGAGACAGAGTCTCTCTGTAGTCCCAGCTGGCCTGAAACTCACAGAGACCTGCCTGCTTCTGCCTCCCAAGTGCTATGATTAAAGGCATGTACCACCACGCCCAAGTTAATTTATTATTTTTATTTTAGGTGTATGAAAGTTTTGTCTGTCTGTCTGTAAATGTACCACTTGTATGTAATGCCTGCGGAAACCAGAAGAGGATGGCAGGTCCCCTGGAACTGGAGTTATAGACAGTTGTTAGCTGCTATGTGGGTGCTGAGACTTGAACCCAGGTCCTCTGGAAAAAGAACAGTGTTCTTAACCACTGAGCCATCACTCCAGACCCCAACTATATCACTCTAGATTGAATTTGTATCAGCTTAAAAGTCAGTAACATATGAAAACTCTGTTGCTGTACAACTCCATTCCACCCCTTTTCAGTTTCTTCTTTATGCATTGTATGTGTATAAAAGCAAACTAATACTTTTTTATTATTTTTATTTTATGTGTATGAATGTATTGCCTGCATGTGTGTAAGTGCACCTACATTGCGCAGTGCTCACAGAGGTCAGAAGAAGGCATGGGATCCCTCAGAACTGGAGTTATAGACAGTTGGTTGTTAGCTGCCACGTGGGTGCTGGAAACCAAACCTGGGTCCTCTGCAAGAGCAGTCAGTGCTCTTGTGAGCCATTTCTCCAGCTGCACTATTTTTTTTTAATGTATTAGATTCTTTTGTAAATTTTTATATTGAATTTCTGTGTATTTCATACAGAACTTTTAATCATCTTTATACCCCCTTCCCCATTAGCAACCCACCCACACACTGGATTTCATGCACTCTTGTCATTTGTGTTAAGGCCTGTTGAGTCAAGTTAGTGTCTCCAGATGTCCCTCAGTGCAAGTTCATCCACTGAGGTCTAGTCCCTCCCTTTAAGAAGATCAGTTCTTCCTCACCCAGCAGTAATTAGCTACCAATAGTTCTTTGGCTAAGATTGGGGCTTACTGCCCATTTCCAGAGTTCCATGCTGGGTTTTTGTCTGCTTGAATTTGCATGGGTCTTGTGTATGCTGACACCATTGCTCTAAGTTCTTATGAGCAAGGTCCCAGGAGCCTGTAAGACTCTATTTCCATTTGGTCATGCACTTTCTCCTCTGGCTTTTACAGTCTTTTCACTCCTTCTATTGCAGTGGTCCCTGAGCCCTGGGTGGGTTAAGTTTAATATAAGAGTCCTGTCCAAGAGCCCACGCTCTGTAGACTCTTATTCTGTACATTTTGGCCATTTGTGTCCTTTTGTATTCATGACCCTCTGTTGCATGAGGGAGCTTCATTGATGAAAGGTGAGAGATGCACTAGTATTCTCTCTACCCCTTGTTCCACTGTGTTCTGTGAGCTTTAGGTGTAGAGGTTTGTAGGGTTGGACAATTCACAGACAATCACTGTGTGGGACCAGTAGAAATCTATAATAATCTCCATCTGTTGCAAAAGAAGCTGCTTTGATGAGTGATGACTGGGATACTTGTCTGTAAATAAAAGGATCCATATTTAGTACATAGTAAGAAATTACATTTGTCTAGGGATGTGACAGCCTTGGGGTTTTCTATGACCTCTCCAGCCTGTATTAGGTTCTTAAATCAGAAAACAAAATGTTGGGTTAAAAACTGCAGTTACATATCCATACTAGATTTTATACTTGTCTTTGTATTTACTTTTGTTGCAATTTCCCCACTTCATTTTTGTTTGTTGTTTGCTTTATTTTATTTTATTTATGTTGGGATTTTTTAGATGGGTTTCATGTAGCTCTGGCTGTGTAGCTAAGGATGATCTTGAGCTCCTGACCTTCCTGCCTCTGCCTTCCCAAATGCTAGAAGTACAGGCATGTGTCACCACTTCTGGCTGAATTGTTTTTCATATGATTCCCAGACACTGTCCTTTTACAAGTTACTGCCTAGTGCCTTTCATTTCTTCCACAGGGCTCTCTCCAGCATGTCCCGAAGGCAGGTCTAATAGTAAAAGGTTTATCAACTTTTTCTCATTTGAGAATCTTAATTTCTCTCTCATTTTTGAATGGTAGTTTTGCTAGATATTAAGACTTTTAGTAGAAGCTAGGTGTGGTGGCTCACAACTGTAATCATAGTACTTGGAAGGCCGAGGCAGGAAGATTGTTGCAAGTTTGAAGTCCACCTGAGCTAAAGAGTGAGAGACTATCTCAAATAACAACAAAAACATTGTTAGTTGGCAGTGCTTTCTTTTAGCACTTTCAACATATCAGCACAGATTACATGTGACTTCCAAATTTTCTGATGAGAAATCTGAGTGATACTATTTTAGAGGCCGTTTATTTGATTAGTTGCTTCTTTTGCTGCCTTCACAGTTCCCTCATTGTTTGATCGATTATGTTGTTTCTTCGTATAGGTCTATTGGTTAACCATGTTTGCAGGTCATTGAGCTTCTAAGTATTTACATTCATGTCTTCCATCAAACTGTAGAAGTTTCCAGTCTTTATTTCTTCAAATGATATCTTTCCTCTTCTCTTCTCCTTTTGGGATTTCAACAGTGCATGTGTTGGTTGCTTCATGGTTTCTATGAGGTCTTGTGCGCTCTGGCTATTTTGTTTATCTTTTTTCTTTCTATTCCTGATAATTGCCATTGACCTCTCTGGTTTTCTGGTTCCATTTTCTGGTTCTTTCTCCTGCCTGCTCAAATTTGCCTTGCACTCATGTTAGTTAAGCACGGTTTTTTTTTTTTTTTTAATTATTTATTTTATTTTATGTATATGAGTGTTTTGCCTGCATGTATGTAAGTGCACCATATGTGTGCATGGCACTCAGAAGCCAGAAAAGAGTGTTGTATCCCCTGGAACTGGAGTTACAGATGGTTATGAGCCACCATGTAGGTGCCGGGAACCAAACCTGGTCCTCTGCAAGAGCAGCAAGTGCTCTTAACTGCTGAGCCATCTCTTCAGAAACAGTATCTATTGATTTATTTTCTTTCTTTGAATGGGGCATATTTTTAGTGTGTCTCTTCTTCTGTTTCTGTTGAAAATTGGACATTTGAATCTAATGTAGTGACCTTCTGACCCTGGAAGTCAGAATCTTCCCCATTTCCAAGTCATACTGATGTCTGGTTTGGATTATTGTAGGTTGAGGTATAATGCTAGGCGTCCTCTCATGTCTTTTCTAAGCCTTCACTTCTGCCTGGGCATGCACAGTGGTTTTCTGTCATGCCTTATATATACAGGTGATTTTGAATGTCCTTTTGTTTAGCTTCTGAAAGGATAGAAAGAAAAACAGAGAAAAGAAGGTAGCTACCCTCTTCACCCCTGGAATTCATGTCAGCAATAGTGACTGTGCCCCAGTTGTACCTCTTTGATCAGAAGCATCCATCAGTAATCAGAACAGAGATCCCCCTATCTGGAATGTGGACTTCTTTTCTAAACCTCACCCTAGTTCTAGAGAGCTGGCACTCACTGCTCTGGGAACAGTACATTGACTTGAACTTGATCACAGTTACACAATTTCCATCCAGGCCTTCTCCTGGGAGTTGCCAGTCTTTCATAGACTCAAGAGTTCAAAATGGGTTTGCCAGGGCAGCTGGCCACACAGGGAGATGGATGCCAAGAACTTCTTGCTTTGCCTGCTGTCATTTCTGAGTGCACACACAATCTTTATGTGTTTACACTATGCCAACTTGTACCTTTCCCTAGTGCCTGAGATCGTGAGGGAGACCCAAGACCTGATCGAGCAGGGGGCTCTCCTGCAGGCGCACCGGAAGCTAATGGACCTGGAGTGCTCTCGGGATGGGCTGATGTGTGAGCAGTACCGCATGGACAGTGGGAATACACGGGACATGACCCTCATCCATGGCTACTTTGGTAGCACGCAGGGACTCTCTGATGAACTGGCCAAGCAGTTGTGGATGGTACTGCAGAGATCACTGGTCACCGTCCGCCGGGATCCAACCTTGCTGGTCTCCGTGGTCAGGATCATTGAAAGGGAAGAAAAAATTGACAGGCGAATACTTGATCGAAAAAAGCAAACAGGGTTTGTTCCTCCTGGGAGGCCCAAAAACTGGAAGGAAAAAATGTTTGCCATCTTGGACAGAACTGTGACAACTAGAATTGAGGGCACTCAGGCAGACACCAGAGAGTCTGACAAGATGTGGCTTGTGCGCCACTTGGAGATCATCAGGAAGTATGTTCTGGATGATCTCATCATTGCCAAGAACCTGATGGTCCAGTGCTTCCCTCCCCATTATGAGATCTTTAAGAACCTCCTGAGCATGTACCACCAGGCCTTGAGCACACGGATGCAGGACCTCGCATCAGAGGACCTTGAGGCCAACGAGATTGTGAGCCTCTTGACGTGGGTCCTAAATACCTACACCAGGTAGAATGGCTTTTGTGCCTTATGTGTCCTTTTACCTAGAAACCTCTAAAAGCATGCTGACTGATAGTTTGCAAACTGTCTCATACATTTCACTTGGGGAAGGCACTCAGTACCCTTGGCTTTTTCTGGCTTGTGAAGATCTTTCTGTTCTACATGTCAGGGACATTCTTGAGAAAGACCCAGCTTGTACTGTGGGTGCAGCAGTGTCTCCCGTGGTCTCTGCTCTCTGCTTTCTGTACTGTGGTATTGGTTGTTTACTGTGGTATTGGTTGTTTTCTGTGTTCATGTGCGCATTTTTGCTTCCTTACAGTGATTCCCTCAGGCAGGTGTAATATTGCAACATTTTATAGATGGGAGCATGTGGCGGGAGGTTCAGTGACTTGTTCAGAGTTACCAGGCTGGTCAAAAAATCACCAGCTTTTGTTTTTCCTCACTAGTACACTGCAGCAGTTAATCACAGCTATCCACTGTCATAGTGGTTCATACCTGTGATTCCTGCCCCCAGAAGCTGAGGTAGAAGGATGACTAACTCCCAGCCTGAGCAAAATAAAAGACCCATCTCAGAAACAAATAAATAACTATGTATAATTCCAGAAAAAATCAGTTACTCTTTTTGTATGTCAGCTTGAGACTGTTACTTCATGTGAGGAATACGAGCCACTTTATGAATGGAGTAGTAGGAGGCAGATTTGAAACAAGTCAGTAGGTAGCTATTGTGAAATGCTTTAGATTAGGTAACTGAAGTGGTGACGTATTTTAACTTTGCCTGGTTTTATGGATAGAAAACAATATTAAGTAATATACTGAAATTTCTTTATAAACCCATCTTGTTGCTTTGGAGAAATTAAACCTTTTAACAGTGAGGCTTATTTTTGTGTTTATTGATAACTGCTTATAGTAGAAAGTTTGTATGCCTCAATACAAAGAGATATGAAAAGAATGAAAATGTCAGGCATGGAAGATGATCATTGTTCAGTAGTTTACTATGTGCAAGTCTGAACCTTATTTCTTCACTACTGTTGTGAGGTTAGAATGGTCTTTATTATCCCATTCTGTAGCCTTTTACTGTGCATAGGCTAGGCCTCAGTGTGTCATATGTGAGCAAACCCATGAGGCAGGGAGTGCTGTGATCATCTCCACTTAGTAGATGAGGAACCTGAGGTACAGAGGGAAGAATGTGTTTCACTTCTCAGAACTAGTAACTGGGAGCAGGATCAAAGCTAGAGCCTGGGCCCTCCTTCAGATCTGTCCCCTGGACTGTAGGATGTGTGTTTATAGGACTTGCACAGCTCTAGGGCTTAGTTTTTTCTCTTTTGCTGTGCTGGGAGCATCTTTGGTCCTTGAGTGTTCTTTTCATGTTAATCACATACATTTTGACTAGACTTTCGACTCTGGAGAAGTTGAGTCATTTTTCCTCTGTAACACTGAAGTTTATGTGTAAAAATAACTGAGATTAAATAAGTAGTCTTTTTTTTTAAATTAAAAGAAGCATTTCATTACAACAGCATTAACCTATTCAATAACATTTTTCTGAGCTAGGGTACATCTCTTTCAAAACTGGCTGTACATTTCTAGGTTTACAGATGAATTATTACGCTTATACAATCTTTTACTCATTACAAACTCTATAAGACATAAAATTAAATGAGGTTCCAACATTTAAAAAAGATCTCCACTGCGTTGTCAAAACACACAGTTTCATACAGAAAAATTCATTCCAACATTGAGACGTTTTCACATGCATTTCTAATCTCTATGTACATGACTATCACACGGTCACAGTCGCCCACCTTCTGAGCTCCTTGGCATCTGAGCATTAATACAAACTCGTCTGGTAGACCGCCTTCCTCTCCCACTAGAGCCTCCACATTCTGTTATCCCTGCCACTGTCCACTGTGCTGTCGGTACCCCATTCATTCCCCCCTATCTGCCCTTCTGGTAAATCTAGTCAGCCAGAGGTCCCTGTTCCAGGAGGATCAGCTGTTCCTCATCTACAGCAATCCATTGTCAGTATTCCTTTGGATAGAATTGGTGTCTGCTGTTCGTTTTTCCAGTAGTATGTTGGATTACGGTCTGGAAGAGCCTTTATCCTGGCCAACATCTCGACTGAAGGTGTCGCCTGTCTGGCTTTGTTGTTTCTCGAGTAACTTTTAGTTATATATACGTACGCTCTTATGATATTATGTTGGCCCATTTACTCTTTGGTTATAATTCCCTTTTGGGTGTTTAAGGACATACAATTGGACCAGATAAACTGATTTGTTTTTACTCTTGAGGTCGTTAGAGGATCTGTTCCTCAGGGGTCCCATGGGGTTGGGAGGAGCCCCTGGCTCCTTTCTTTTACCAGTTCCATCTATGTGAAGATAAGTCAAAGGTCCTGCTCGACCATTGTTGGCTTCTCTTGGAAGCATGGAGGAAATGATTCCTCCGTGTTGACCCTCCT